AAAGTTTCTTTGTAGTCAATACCTTCAACCTGGTGATTACCAAGTATAACAAGCCGAGCCTTGTATCTCTCTATACTGCCATCAGACTTGCGCTTGATTTTATATACCCACTTGCATCCAAGAGCCTTTTTATGACGTGGAGGACTAACAAGAGACCACGTACCATTGGCTTCCAACGCATCAATTTCTTCTCGCATGGCCTTCCTCCAACGTTCATCCTGAAAGGCCTGTTTGAAATTTTTAGGCTCTATTTCTTCATCAAGTGCTGCGAGAAAACACTTATGTTTGTCAGAAAATTTCGCATAAGTGACATATGAGGAGAGTGGATATCTGCACTTTTCTCCGATCTGTGGACCAGCCACATGCGTAACATAGTCCGCAAGCCTCACATTTGGGCGCCTTTCCCGCTGACCACGTCCCAAGGTCTCTGCTGTGTTCTGGAGAGAGGACGGTCGACCGCCATCCGTGGAACGGTCCACGGGGTCGACCGTCTGTAATGGTTCCTGAGGGTCTTCTTTCTGCCGCAGAGACGGTCGACCGTTCTCCTCGTCACGGTCGACCGTTTCATCATCCCTCTGGAGGTGATCTTGCTGCCCTTCGGACGGTCGACCGTGGCCATCAGGACGGTCCACCATGTCGACCGTTGGTTGCACTCCCAGAGGTCCATCTTTCTGCCTCTCGGACGGTCGACCGTGGACAGCGGGACGGTCCACCAGGTCTACCGTCTGTAGCTCACTTGCTTCACTGGTCTCCTCCGGTCGACCGTTCCTCGTGGAACGGTTCAGCTGCTCTTCCGCAGTCATGTCATCTTCATCGTCGAAGTGTTCAACTGGAGAAGAAACACTTGCTCCTTCTTCATTCAACATTTCACCTGTGGAAATCAAGTAGGGAAAAATGTTTTCACAGAACACAACATCTCGGGACACGCTTATTTTCCGAGTGTCCGGAAAATACACGCGCCATCCCTTCTTTCCTTGTGGATAGCCCAAAAATATTCCAGGAATACTTCTGGGTGCAAATTTATCTCCGTCTCTCTTCAGGTTGTGAACGTAACATCTGCAACCAAAAATACGAATGTGAGTTAACGCAAGGGCCCTTCCATAAAGCTTTTCATACGGTGTAACCCCCTCTAGAAGAGACGAGGGAGTCCGATTAATCAAATATGCCGCCGTTTGTATACATTCTCCCCAAAATTCTATCGGAAGCCCCGCTTGAAATCTCAGAGCACGTCCCACATTCAGAATATGTCTATGTTTACGCTCCACCCTTCCATTTTGCTGTGGTGTAGACACACAAGATGTCTCACGAACAATTCCCTTCTCCAAAAAATATTCATTCAAACACTCAAATTCTGTACCATTGTCACTTCTCACACATTTTATTCTCTTCCCAAATTGACATTCAACCATGGCACAAAATTGTTTAAAAACACTCCCTACAGTTCGTTTTGAATCAAGCAAATATACCCACACTCCACGCGAGAAATCATCTACAATAGTCAAAAACAGTGTAGAACCATCCAAACTTGGTGTCCGATAAGGACCCCACACATCACAATGCACCATATCAAACTTGTCCATAGATTGATAAAAACTGATAGGAAAACTTGCACGAGTTTGTTTAGCATGCAAACAGATATCACAATGACTATGACTACTTTTATTTGAACCAACTACAGGAACTAAGGATAAAACATGCGAAGAAGGATGTCCTAGACGTTTGTGCCAAAGGTCAAACACATTCTTCTTAGCAGCACTGCACGCCATGCTCCTTCCTTCCTTCTTTAGGTAGTACAATCCTCCTTCATGTCTAGCCACACCAATCGTTGTCCTCAAACTTAGGTCCTGTAAGATGCACAAATCATTGGTAAACTTTGCTTCACAGTTCATATCCCTTGTCAACTGTGACACAGAAATTAAATGGCAATTCAAGGTTGGAACAAACAACACATTCTGCAAAGTCATAGTCATAGTCAGATCAACCTTTCCAGATTGAACAGACACAACTCGTTTCCCATCAGGCAATCCAATTTCACAAGGAGACACTCCCACAAAATCATATAATAACGAAAGATCACCTGTCATATGATTGGACGCACTAGTATCAATTATCCAACGAGGTGATACAGGGATACCTGAGAGTTTCTGTGAGTTATCTATAGGGGAGAGCGAGAGTGCATGGCGAACAGCGTTCCACTGTTCAGGTGTCAGATCCTCAAAATTCGGGAGCGGGGATGGTCCTTTCTCTTCTCCTTGAACTGCATGGACTTCCCCTCGTCCACCCGTAACGGTCGACCGTACAGCCGCCACGATCGACCTTCCGCCACCTCGTGCAGCACCACGACCTCTTCCCCGGCCGTTTCCTCTTCCTCTTCCAGCCTGATCGCGGTACACCCATCCCTCTGGGTACCCGATCAGCTTATAGCATGCCTCAATATCATGTCCTGTTTTCCCACAATGTGAGCACATGAGCTCTTTGACCTCCATCTTGTTCTTTACGGCAAACACGGATGCACCTGCTTCACTGCTTTCTCCTTTGTGCATGCCATGTCGTGCCGTCTCATCTTGGACAAGAATGTTATATATTCTTGACACCGGTGGTATGGTTTCCTGGGCCAGCAGATTTGACCGCAAAGTCCCATACAAAACATCGTTCAGACCCATCAAAAATTGATGGGAGCGTTCCCTCTCACGCATCTGCGTGAGCTTCTCCTGCAAGTCACACGTGCAATTCCTACACGTGCAGATCGGGAATCGCTCTAAATCTGCTAGATCATCCCACAACTTCTTCATCTTTCCATAATATTCCATTATAGAAAGATTCTTTTGTTTGCATTCCGCCAATTCTCGCTTCAACTGCTGGACCCTTGGTCCATTAACCACAGAGAAACGATCCTTCAACTCGCTCCACAGATCTAAAGCCTTTTCCATAAAAGATATGCTGGATCTCAAGGTTGGATCAATCGTGTTCCGGATCCAAGAGACCAACAGTGAATGGTTTGTCCACCAATCGTCAAAATCTTCTGAATCGGGATCTGGCATCTCAATTGTTCCATCAACAAATCCAAATTTCTTGCGAGTTCGTAGAGCCAAGCGTAGAGATTTGGACCACTCATCATAATTATCTCCCTTTAGAACGACATGGGTCAAGATCATACCCGGATTGTCGCTTGGAGACAAATCGTAAGGCGAGATACGACGACGTCGCACTCCAACCTCCTCCTCCTCTCGTTCTTCATTCTTCTTACCGGAAATGATCTTCATAGGCGTTTCTTCAGACATACCAGATGACAGAGTTCAAGAGTTGGATCAAAAACAGCAGCGGTTAGAGATTCTGCCGTCGGGACGGTCGATGTCTTCGACCGTTATGAACAAACGGTCGACCGTTCCGGTCTTCTCGGCAGCAACTGCGAGCAACGATCGATGGACACGATGCCGGGCGATCGTGCGGAAATTCCTAGAGTTTTGGCTCTGATACCATGAAAGAATTGTTTCGGAATCAAAATCTTTGTATTCCTTTCTGTCTTTTACAATTTACAATCCAGCCGTATATATAGCAAAGAGTCCTAATTAACAAAGGAAAAGGAATCTCTATACAAGGCAACTACCATAACTAATATATACGGAAATAAATGCTAATAAATGCTGAATATTCTCTTTCCTCCTTTACATATATCACAATATAACGAAACATGGTACAACAATTATACAAGAGATCGGATGACAAAACATAGAACGTTTAGTGCATTACTACATCATATCCCATGAACATTTATTTATGTATACATACACCATCCTCGATCTCGAGAGTTGAGAGAGTGTTGAATATTACAGCGGGAAAATAAAATAAAAAATAATCCGAACTTATAAAACGTTCGGATTTTACAACAAAAAATAAAGAAAATAAAAACTTGGAGTCTTCGGATGCTTGAACGAACGCAAGAACACGAACGGACGGAGAGAGGAACGACGCCGGAGCAAAAGAAGGGTGAGGAAAGCGGAGTCGCCGAAGCTTTCCTTAAGGTAGTATTGCCCGCCTCCCGCACTAGCTAACGTGGGCAATCTCCTCCGAGGATAAAACCGCTTCGTGCTAGGTCTAGAGCGGTAGAACAAAGCACCGGAGAACGAGAATGACGGAGCTACTGCCGGAGAAGATGATCGGAACTCGGGAATTTGCCGGAATAATTTTACTACAGAGAGAGAGGATTTTCGAGAGTGTACTCGTCTCCTTCATCTCTCGACCAGCCTCTCCTTAAATAGGAGAAGGCTTGGCTAACTAGACAGCCCGGACGGAGATACCGAGGAGCCTTAGGCGACTCTTCGGTCGGCCATGCATGCATGCTTCAACTTTCGTACACTTCGTTATTAACGAAGTGTACACGCGCGTTTGTTTCGGTCTCGTAAAAATTTAGCCACGTCGCAGACGCGGGCGCGGGCGGGGCGCGGCGCCCAGCCCCGCCGCGCGCGCGCGCCGGGACGGACGGCGGCGGCGGCGGGCGCGCGAGGAGTCCTCTTCTTGTTCCTTTCATAAGCTCAATTCAATGCCTAAGCTTAAATATGAGAATACGAAAGGTTTAGAAACCGGTGTGGGACAAAGGCATTTACTGTACCTTAGTATTCAACTTTGAGAATTAATTTCTCATTCACCCGAGCATCGTTTATGACGTGTCATATGTCAAGACGTTCGTCTTACTTACGAGATTAATCGTCCATAATTATTTTGGAAAATAATTTTGTGGACCCTATCAAATTTATGTCCGAAAATGTCCAATTTACTCAAAATTTCCAACAATCCCCCACATGAATGAAAATTAATTCATGTAACTGACAATAACTCTGAAGTTGAAACCTGCAAGAGTAGGTAGGTTTTATGCCTTTGAACCTACTCCTTGTAAAGTATACCTTCTCTACTCGCTGTTCAGTAGAACGTGATGTCTTTGAACTGTACTGCCGTTTACGTAAACGACGATATACAATACACAAGTTTCAACCAACCATCATTCCGTTCTCATGGGTGTGCCCATTATGGTCGTGGAACACGCATCTGGTTCTGCGAGAGTGTCAGACAGGATCAGCCCGAAATCCTTCTGTTGAAGCGACCGCACTTCACTCTTACATAGGTGACTCTTCTAAGAGTATCCCGATTACTCCACTTGGACCTCGTTGTCCATAGTTCAAGAATCATTAAAGCGTCATGCTAACCTCATCGTTTTCGGGAGTCACTATATCTCAGTAGGAATGGAGGGGTGTTAAGTCGGTGATCCGGCTTGCCCCCACAGTGACCGTGCTTCGTTCCACAAGTAGGTTGTCCCATTGAACCCAGGTTCCACCTACGTTGGGTTTTCCTTCATGGAACGTTCCCAGCACAGGGTAGGGCTTTCAGACCTATTCCTACCACTAACTTCTCATGTTGCTCATTGGTTAACCCTTTGGTTAATGGATCCGCTAAGTTATCCTTCTGTTGGAACACGGGTTTACGCCTTCGTCGCACTAAACTGTGTTCGTTTATGACAGGTTTTGATAATGCCAAACCGCCGCGACATATCGAAGCTAAAGTGAGCAAAACTAAGGCGAAGGAACATGGCATGATGACTTAAGAACCAAGAACCCAGAATCAAGAACGAAGAACTAGAATTGTATTGAGTCGGTCTTAATGTGATCAAGACCGGCACAAAATTCCAAATCTTGGCTCTCTAGGCTTAATTCATAAAAATTTCTTTTACATATTCAAAAATACTTTTCTTAAAGTTTAAACTTGGGTCAAAACACTTGGAGTTCGCCCAAGCCAAAAACCAAGCCATTCGGCGTTCGGCTTTCAGAAACCGGCGTTCGGCTCT